CTTTCTAGCCTAACCATGGATTTAAGAACTTGATTTGGTTTAACCAATGTTCTTTATGCATTTGTAAGAGGGTAAAGAATACATTTGTTCCAATTTGACATAATATAATTTATAACAATTTGAATTATTCACTAATTATAATTTAATTGCAAGGGGAAGGTTACTTTCTAAAATTTGAACTCTTCTTCATAAAACTTAGTTTTAGTGAACTTAAAATTAATTTACGTACAGAGATAAGAGTAGTAGATATAATTCACTTAGTTTAAGAGCATAAATTTCAACTTGCATTCTTAGTTAAGTTTTTTGCAGTTTAATTAGATTTCCTTGAGTTAATATTATAAGAATTTCCAAACTTCCCTTTGTGATCGATACTTAGGACTCCATTAGAGCCATATATTACTTGAGTGGTACATATACTTTTGTTAGTGTCCCAATGAATATTTGAAATTGATAAATAATACCTTAAATTGCTAGGAGTGGCAGCTATAAAGATTTAAAGAAACATTAACTATTCTGAAGTATATTATTCTTTTGGCTGTTGCAAAAACTAGACTGCCTCAGGTAGCAAGTGCTATTGCTGGTTCCAAATCTTATTTTTCAAGCATTTATTTTTGGAACTGAGAGACATATGACTGAGGGCACTCTTTCAGCCCTCGCTTGATGTGTCACAACAGATGCGAGTTCTTATGAGTCTTTTAAACAATGGTGAAATGTGCTCTGAAGATCTTAATGTCAGAATAGGAGGTTATTACTCCTATCGGTGGGCCATTAAACAATCTGAGGGTTGAGGCCTCAATGTGGTGTAAAATAAATGACACTTAATTGCATTAGAGATGTTAAAAAGGTAGACCGCTGACTCAAAAGATGCGATATGGTTAGCTGGATCACTTTGACCATTTTAGGATTCAAAAGACGGAACTTTAATATTCTTTGTTGGCTCAGCATCAGTGATATGCTAGGAGAATCCATTATCCAACTAACGATTCCTAGCTTGGTCTAGCCAATGAGATAGACCCAGAAATATGTTGATACTAGGATTCTTCAATTCTTCCTGCCCTCTAAGTCGTTCAAAGGCCTTGGGGATCTTATTGTTATTAAGGGTTCAGTTTCTATGAAGCTTACGTTGTTACCTCAAGTAAAGCGAAGGCAACTCTTTCATCTGTCCTGTCATTTAATTATAAAGTTCTTGTTACAGAAATTCTCTCACATACTCCAGAAATGAGATTTCTCCTTGACGAGTTTATTCTTTGTGGCGTGCTCTTCTTATTGTTGATGACATGATTCCATACTCACTGCAACTTTTAAGATGATGAATCCAAATATGTCCTATGGATCACACTCAAGGCATAGATAGTTGGACAGATAAGAGGAATAAAGAGATAGAGAGAAAGAGAGGAAATAGAGTGCCCCTCTTATTGAAGAAATGACCCCCTATCTATAGTTTCTAGGGATATCTAATAAAATTTAATGCTTTCCCCAACTTTAATAGGGACATTGAAAGTCATTATTACACATTTTCATATTTATAATCAACTCTGAGACCCTTTAATATTCATAACTAATGTTTGCATCATTTTGTATTTTTAATTGCCTGACAAAGGGGATTTGCTGGCTTGTTGGTATTGTTATTCAGCTGACTGAGAATCATTTGGTTGGCTAAAAGGTGTTCATTTGACCCTCTCAAGAGATTCAAGAGTAGAGGTCATCCTATCGTTGGGGTGAACTTGGACCGTCAGGAAGAGGGTGTATCATCGTAATATGATGGGAGCTGTCCTTAACAAGAGGCCTTTTAAGAGGATCAGGAAGGTGTGGTACCCTTCCATCATCTTCGTAAAGAAGGTTGAGTTGGCCATGAATGATGGACCCTCAATTAGATGCCCATCTATTTCTTCATTTTGATGTGCTTCCATTTTATTAAACCTAAGTTCTGATTGGAGGAAACCAAGCTTGGCATTTTTATCTTTTGTATATCCCAATGCACTACCCTTTGGTCTTCATAAGAGAGACCCATTGAATTTCCTTGAGATTCTTACGATCATATTTTTTATGTACAACAAATTTGATATGTATATAGTAAAATGTAAATTTTAAAAAATAAAATGACAAACTCTAGTGTAGTATCTCATAGTTATAGGAACTTGATATAAAGAAATAAGATTGAAAAACTACTGAGGGTAAGTTGAAATAAAGAGAAACTGTAAGCCTAAACATAAACTTGAACACAAAGAAAATATATTATTTAAGAAAAAGGTTGAGAGTTGGCATGCTGATAATTATTTTTATTATGTGTTTGAGAAAAAAAACTAGGCTAAGTTTTTCTAATGTAGGGCATTGAACTAAGACTAAAATATGAAAATTAGGGTTATGAATGTAATGCTGAAAAAGACGGGTTATGATATAGAGGTGAGTTGCTTTAGGATTACTTCAATAAGCTAACACAACAAAAGAAATATTTTTCCTATCAAGGAAATTGTGCCATTAGGAACCATCAACCCCTCCATCAAAAGAAAGAACCCTAGTTGAATATCTCTTACACCAATGCTCGAGGGCTAATTTTGCTTTTATTAACCTAAGGGTAAATGAGTAATTTATTATTTATAATTGTTTATGTATAAACTCTCTAATAAGTTTAGGGTTAGGTATGTATGAGATTATTATTGTGAGTTAGGTTTAGGGTTTGGGAGAGTTTTCCTACCTCTCAAATTGTAGTGATTGGGAGGGATTGACTACATCTCGATATGTAGGTGCTACTCTTATATGTTTGTGGGAAATGTTAGTGTTATATTGCTTTAATTGATTTTATTGAAGAAAAATATTTGTTTGTTCTAATTTTTATGAAAAATTGTGTCGATTTCAGCTCTGAATCACAAAAAATTGGTCTCATAGCTCTCAATTCCTGAGATATCAACAATTGGATAGCTCGATACAAGACCTTTGGTGCTGAAACACACAATATAGTCATGATTAGTGTTTGCGGAGAAAGGAACGATGGGATCACAACTTATAGAGACCAAAAAATTCCTTTTTTCTTTGCGAAAAAGTTAACAGGCTTACAAAGATCCATAACTCCTATCTTTTGCCTCCTGCTTCTGACAGTTGCGATCAGAGCTAGCTGGGAAGGCACCAATAGTATTGCAACCTATAGAGGCATGAAACACCATCTTTTGCCTCCTATCGCTCCTTTTTGAAGATCATGACGTACAAAGACCCAAAACTAGCATGCTTGTTGGGAAGGCGATAATGAATCTTCCATCTCTTGGGAAAACCAACAAGTTAAGCTTCCTGGAAAGCATTGAGATTTGAGCTGATTTTTCCACAAGTTGGGTGGGAAGAATTTGACTTGCCCTAATAGTAGAAAAGTTGCAAGTTGAGCCAGCTAACTGGGATCAAGTAAAGAGAAATAGTCTGATTCAAACAAACTATGGGATCATGACGCACGGGCTTTGAAAATGACATGAAATAAATGGCAACAAAAAATTGATGATTTGGAGGAGAAATCGGAGGAGCATGTGAGCCAAACTAGATATGGAAGGGATGAGCATTTATCATCAATGGAGTGGGCAATTTACATCCATATTAGGGAAATTTTTTATCCATGGCAAGTGGATTTACAACCATGGAAGAAATGATGAAGAAATTGATCGATTGCCACACAAACCTGCAACAACCTGAAGTAGGATCGAGTGATAGTGCAGGAGTGGACTCATGTGGCATGACTTAGAATGAATAAGGCGGCATTTAGACAGTTGGAACGAATGTCAGCGGGCATAATGGGATGGTATGCAATTCGGGGTTGAAGAATATCAATTAGATGGATTTCAGTCTGTAATAGGGAACTACAATGGGTGTGATACCAATAGAGGGTTGCATCAAACTACGTCTGTGTCTTTTGATGTAACATCCATTTGGGCGTGAGGCACAGTAGGAGTTTACGTGGATAACCAGGCTAACTATGGGACGAGCAAACTTACAGAATGATGGATTTTAATATGGTGCTGAATGAACTTAGATCAAGAGAATTTGGGATGACTCACCCATTAGAAAATTGAAGATGCCACTCTTTGAGGGGAAAGACATGCTTGAGTGGATGTATAAGGTGGAGCAATATTTCTCGATAAATGGGCTAAATTTTGAGGAGAAGCTCATGCCAGAAAAGTTATATTTGGAGGGGAAAACCTTAGCATAGTTTCAATGGAGGAAGTCTAAATACTTTATGCACTTGTGAGAGGAATTTAAAGATTGCTTGTTGAAATGTTTCTAAGACATTAGAGAAGAAGACTTATACGAGAAATTCTTTGCATCAATTCCTGGAGAGGCTATTATAAAGTATAAGGAGAGATTCGAGTTGTTGTTAGGGTGACTAAGGGGAATTTCTAAGGGGAATTTCATATCCAGTATTGAAAAAAATTTTAGGAAGAGCCTAAGGCCCAACATATTTGGTGCAACACTTCATCCATTAAGACCACCAACTAGGGAGAAATTATGAAATTATTTCAGTTAGATGAAAATTATAAGCAATGGAACAGGCTAATAGGAGCAGCACTGGTGGAGCACAATACCAAGCAATTACAACCATGACGGCACTAAAAGCTCAAATAGTGGAAATTATGAGGGATGCTTCATAGGCCGAGAATTATGAGAAATAACCAAGGGATGCATTCAAGCCCCTTTAAAAGATGAATATTTCGGAAAAGCGAGCTAGAGGGTTATAATTTCATGTTGATTTCTGCTCCTATCCCTCTAACCATGATGCCAATACATATAAAATGAAATAAATTATCATATTGCCCAAGGAAGGAGATGGGATCTTCATTATAATCATGATCAAATTTATAATTGAAATTTTCATTCACAAGCATGATCATATTTATATTTGAAATTGAAAGCATCACATTTAATCAAATCATAACAATCGGCTCAAATTCATTGAATTGTGATTAACTTGTTTTTTTTTCATTGACGCATCAACCTTGATTCCTTTGAGAAGCAGGGCAGATGAATTGAAACAACAAAACTATCAGATATACAACATTCTTTACAAGGACAAATGTTACATTTACATAAAAAATACAACATGATAAATGGATTAGGCCACCAACCCAGTAGCAGCAGAAAATCTTTTACAGTAAGAACAAATTGTTTCCATCAGTTTCTTTACATGAAATCCCATTGCCAATAGAACTTTTCCACTATGCCTCCGCCACTACGGATTGCAAAACGCAGGGTCTCTGAAGCTGGAGGAACTCCCCAGAGCAACGGCACTGCAACAGTCATGGTCAATTTCTCTTGCAAACCTTCCTTGCTAGCCTTTTCTGCTGTAACAACCTGCATAATACCACAAGATGTTGGAGTGGGTACTTGTTCAGATTCAGAGAAACAAAGACTAAGATCATCATTAGGAAGAAAAATAATAATGGTTAGCTTCATATATATAATCATCTGATAGTTGGGATAATATTGATGTTAAAGATTAGAGGAGTTTGCTGAAGCCTCGACTTTGTTTATTGAATCAAATCCAACTCCACGCTTGATGGGGCTATAAACCCTGAGGGTTTAAAAAGCTCCAACTCAGGAAAGTTTCAAGAAATGTTATAATTTGAAAAATAACCTAAAAGTAGTTACTGATAAAAAAATGTAGTCTTTTCCACTCTTTTGTTGATCGCCGTTGTTTTTTACTAAAATTTCATCACCCCATCTTTGTTTGGAATCCTGATCAACATCATTAAATTTGCATGATCATAAATATCAAAGAATTACTCTCATAATAAAAAAATAAAAAAAAAATGTCTTCATTTATCTTATGATTTGTCAATCATTGTTTATTTTTGTTCTTAGCAAGCTTTCGTACCTAATAGATAATGACAATGAAGAGAATTTGGAAAAAAAAAAATAATAATAAAAATAATAAAAAAACTTGATTCTAGCCAGAATAGAAATCAATTTTATTGATGTTAAAAAGCCCAAAGCGCCAAGATTAGGATTGGATTGAAACAAAATAAAAGGGAAATGAAATAAGATCTAAAATTTATAGGTTGCTCATGGATTCAGAGCTATTTAAATTTTTTTTACCATTTTTTTATTTGCATTTCATTTCATTCAAATTCCTAGCATCCAAAAACACCTTATATGTTCTACTGAAAGTAGGCACCATATCGAAAAACAGCGCAAATGCTCTCATGAAAGTAGGCACCACATCTGAAAATTTTATTTCATTGCAGTTAAATTAATAGCATTCAAAAACATTTTAAATGCTTCTGCAAAACAGGGCACCGCAAAAACAATGATCTGCATGTAATCCAGCCATAACAGAAATCATTCCTTTTTCAATGTTAGATGTCCACGTTTCATAAGGTTTTAATTGGACTGAAAGAAGGTGAAAGAAATGAAATGAACCCCAACATTCCAAGGGTCTGGTTATGCATCTAGAACCATTGATTTAGGTTTTGGCGGACTTCTTATTTTCACTTCATTTCTCTCAAACTTAAATGTTCTGCTGAAAATAGGCAACCTCCAAAACATCATCAATATGCTATTATCAAAATTATTTTATGCTTAAAACAAAAGCCTTTGTTGGTTTGACCAAGTGTACCAGGAGGGCAAAAAATATAAAAGGTCATAAAATTATAATAAAAAGATAACAGAGAAAGTGACCATAAAAAAAATTTTATGAATAAAAAATATGCAAGATTTTTGTTTTAGGTTTACATATCAAAACAACATTTATAAGAAATGAGAATAAAAAAAGACATCTAATTAACTAGGATAAGGCTAAAATGATGATTATGATGATGAACTTTCTGAGATAGCCTGTTCACTGAGCTACAAATAGAAGGCATTTTGCCCATTAAACATTGCCTAATAAAAAAAACATTCTTGATGCTGACAATAATACAAATCAAGGATAGTATTACTATTTGCTACGTCCATTTGATCTTCTAAACTAAGTATTTGGAAGAGTTAGGGTGTTCAAAACATTACTTTTCAGAATAAAATCGCAAACTAGCAGTTCACTAACACTTGGCCTCCAGCAAACATTTAAATCTTAAGGACTGAAAAAAAAAATCACACAAATTTTTGGAATATCCAGAGCATCAAGTAGAATGCAAAGGTTTTGATATTGATGACATAATGAGTGCACAATTACATAAATAAATCTCGATACTTATATCTGAGTAGCAGTTCACTAACACTTGGCCTCCAGCAAACATTTAAATCTAAAGGACTGAAAAAAAAAAATCACACAAATTTTTGGAATATCCAGAGCATCAAGTAGAATGCAAAGGTTTTGATATTGATGACATAATGAGTGCACAATTACATAAATAAATCTCAATACTTATATCTGAGTAGCTGATTTAGGGTGTTCCGAAAGAAATTGGAAATGGTAAATAATGGATTGCTTTTTTTACATGAAATAAAAATAACAATCTAGTATAATATGGTTCATATCCAAGCAAACATGAAACAAACGTATCAACTATCAGGCCAAGTACCTCGCCACCATGTTCCAAGACAATGTCTTCTACAACATCACTTAGCATCTCAATGGAACGGCAAAAACCAAAGATGCATAGTCTTCTTCCCATGTCAAGTCCCTAACACACATTTTAACAGAGCATAAGCTCTAAAGGAAAAGAAACTTTAAGTAATTAAAATAATAAGTGTCCACTAACATTTGTGGCTGCAATATCAAAGAGAGCACCGAGACAAAGGGCTTGGTTAGGATCCATATAATAACTCTCTTGAAACCGCTGGGACCTTTGAGAAGCCTTTGACCTCGATTGTCTTTTCTGCTCAAAAGATAAAGATTATAAAAAAATATAACCAGAAATAAACATGATTTTTCACAAACGAGAAATTTTGGAACACCAAGAATATTTATTTCGTTGTATCCATTACACTTGTAAATTGCAATTGAAAAAGCTGTCAGGGGTGAATAAGAAGCTTATCATAAATGCAATTGCTGAACAACTTGTTCCATTACATTTCAGAAAATTTCAACATCATGAAAAATGGAAAAAATGCAACAAGTGTGATAAACGGACCTTCATAGATTATTTACAGGAGGCAAAGGGTTAAAAAAAAACAATTCTCAAATTGAGCTATCAAAGAGAAGAAAATTTTATTGCGTGCATATGAAAATGCACAACAAAACTTTCACAAGTATAAATGAACTGCAAACCATTATTAAACCAAACATCTTAACATGTTATAAGGGGTAACTAGAATGCAAACAAAAGTTATAAAATTATACGGATAGAATTAGATGCAGAGCATGAAATTTAGAACTAGAAAACATTGTTCATAGTTCAGAAAGGTAACAGAAGTATCTAAGACTAACAATATGTCATAGCAACATGTTCCTATCAGCGAAGAATCGATGCTACGGGTTAAGCTTCAGAAACTTATAATAAATAGCTATATCTGGTTAGTAACCAAAAAACAACGGCATGTCAAACATACAAAGAAAAAAGCTGCAAACTAGCATTGGTGGCACATTCACTAATCAAAAAAAGGTCCAGCAATGGCATTGAGATCAAGTAAGAATGACGACAAACTTTATGTAATTACATCTGAAATTGGAAAGTGACGAGGAACAAGTGAACCCCCAATATGAACAAGTCCTTCAGAGGTAAAAAGAGTAAATTTATCTTCAGGAATCCATTGGAAAGCTGCAATGTTTATAAAAATGTCAGAATTTCATTTTTGGAAAACAAATGTGGTCAGTAAATTAAATTAAGAATAAAATGAGAACTGAAATACAGCTAGTATCAGATATGGTATCCAGATAATGATAATAGAAAAAAAAAGAGCAAACACACCAATCAAATGTATGCATGAGCACCCATAACATTTTTTAGACAGAAGATACAGATATGAATATATATCCCAAAATTGTTGATTAAAAATAAAGGGCAAATTGAAAATTCATGATAAGTACCTTTAGAAAACTTGCATCGGAAGCATTGGAATAGAAGATGGATTACTTAGCTTCAACAAAGTCTAAAAAATAAGAGCTTATTTCAAGGCTTAATAGATCCTTCTATCTAAATTTAAAGGTAAAGAAAATGTTATTATGTCTACTTCGCACCAACAAGACTAGTATAACAAAATTAAATGCATGGCATATGATTAAAAACTTTCATATTTAGCCTTGCTTTCAATTTAAACAATACTGTTGCAACTTTATTACATTTTAACACTAATTTTTAAATTCATTCCTACAGATTCTAAGTTCTGAAGCAACCAGTACTTAAAATAGTCAATCAGGTTTATATTATAATATCTATGTCAACCCATGTGGTAACCAAACCATACATTTAATTACATTGCCATCCTACTTTTAGGCAAACCACATGGGACACAGGTCAAATTAGGGGCTCACATAATTCATTCATGGTAGATGAAAATCGTCGCAAAAAAAATCTATGGAAAAGTGGACCTTGAATGCTATCTTTTGTAAAATGAAACTTCCTCAAGCCTTTGCTATGATCAACACTAGAACAATATCACCATCATAAGACCATAACTTAAATTAACTTGAACATGTGAATGCAAGAGGTCAAAAAGAAAGAGGACAGCAACTCTCAAATTCAGCACGACACAAAATACAATTCCCATACACAAATAATACTGTTCAGTATCTATCTTATTTTCAACAAATTCATCTTTTTCTCTCTCTTTGGGAGAATTCCATCATTTAAAATTTTTAGTTTTTCTCTCATTTAGCAACTCAAACAAACAACGACAAGTATCTAAAGTAAAATGAATATTGGTTTAAATACATGCTAATTGAAAACTATAATTATATATCAGCTTTCTAGATATGCATTCACGATACCATTTTGTTTACATTATTAGATCAACATTTTATTAATCATCCAAAATAACAATTCCGTAAGGCAGATATTATCCTATCTATTATTGAAGGCGCGGAAGTGATGTTTTAAGATGAAAATATACAGTCATAAATCCGACTAACATCACGCAATTAAAGGTAACTCAATGAAGCTATTACTGATAAAGGCACAAGCGACAGTGATGAAAAGTTTAATAAGTAAGCTCACAATATTCACCGCAGAAATTTCACAAATCAAATTATCTTGTTTCCTCAGATCCTTGCAATAAGACCCCCATCCCTTCACAAAATATAACAATTGGAATTTTCTAACCAAAACAATTCCAAAAACCAACATATATTTCTATTGGACACTCCAAACATTAACCGAAATCTATCTCGAACCAATTACTCGCTACAAAATCTATCTCCAGCATCGCAGTATTAAAGCATATCAACAGAAACCTTGTTGATTAACAACGGAAGCTAATGGGATGGATTTACTCGGTTCATCGGAAGGGGTGGATGCTTCCCATGGATACGGGCCATAAGGGTCACCCCCGATGTAGCCGCCTTCGCCGGAATCCCCAGATCGACATCGGACAGCGTGAAGAGAACGAGAGCGAACAGAAAACGATGATAAAGAGCTGAATGTGAGCTTCGACGAAAAAGGATCTGCCGGCCCGCAGTGACACGGTGGAAGATGGAAGCTTGACAAGAAAACGAGCGCTGATGATTCCGTCATGTCCAGTATCCAACTGCGGGTAAAACAGAGGTGTAAGAATAGAAGGCGGAGGGGGCAGAAAAGGGCGTGCAGGATTGCTCTGTGGAAGAAAAGGTCAGCTGTAGCCGTTCTTATTGTCCAAGCGAGACTAACTTATTGGGGTCTAACTTGCACAGCCCTCACCAAGTAGGGAGCACTTACAAACTGTAAACTAAAAATAAGAGGGCCCGAATCTGAAAGCAATCTGATGGCCAGGACCCAAGATAATCATTGCAGGGTCGAACGACCATCACATAACAAAACATGGATCTCAAAAAAACAAACCATCAAAGAGAAGTAGTAGATCGCTCGAAAATAGAACGATCGACCATGCAATGAACAATCTGATTGGTCAACAACCCGAAGGCCTGGAGGTCATTCAAAAACAGTGCAAATGGTCGACGACTCAAGATGAACAATTAAGTATCGACTCTCCTGACACACAACCCGAATTCGGTGGACCGATTGAGCAGGACAATCGACAGAATCAATATCAGTCGGGTGACCTATTTTCATATCTTATTGTATTTCTACTGTAATTAACTAAAGTAGCCCCTCAAAAGCTAAAGATTAGAGAGCAAATCTGAAATTGTAACATTCGTACCCCTTATATCTATAAATATGGGTCATTTTGTAGTAAAAAGTTACACATTTCACAGTTTTATACAATTAGTTCTTCTGCCACGCTCTATTCTTTGGGTGTTATTCTAGTATACTTTTGGATTCAACATTCTGTCCAATGCGGTGAGCATAGAACCATGTCATCAACAAGAACAGAAGCACACCAACAGCAACAGCAATGAGAAACCAGTCAGAGAAACATATTATAAGTGGGATGCACGAGAGAGTTCATGGCAGAATTCTTCCAACAAGGACCGCAGGGCCAGAGAAATTAGATCACTAATCAGATATTGGGAAAGTTTGCAGAAGTACTCAGAACAATTGTAGCCTTGTCGGCATCCCCCAGCCCAAGAGGGGAATGTGCTCAACATGAAACACATGACCACCCTCGAGAGGAACCCCTAGTGCATAATTGACCGCGACTTTATATATGCTTAAAATATAAGTATTTAATACCACTGCTAAAAGATTTAATCCCTCAGCAACTGTACCAAAACTTAATAACAGTTATAGATTCAATAAATATGGACGTAATAAATATTTAATAATTATAAAGTCACAGTTATCAACGCAAGTATACGTATCGCTCAAGTAATATAGGGCTCTAATGGAGTCTTAGATATTGATCCCACAGAGAGTAAGATTAGAACTATGAACTAAGATTTTAGAAAAGTAATACTTTAATCACAATAATGAAGTTCAATTCGCTTATCTGTCACTAATAAGAAATTAAAATAAATATGTAATTTTAATAACTATTAAATGACTAATTATACTAATGAAGGTTCAAATGTGATATTCAAAATATAAGAGAGCATCCTTCTCCTAGCCAAGAAATTATAGTGAATGGATAAAGTGAATTAGTTTAAATTATATTGTGCCAAATAGGAGCATACATATTCTTTATCCTTTGGTCCAGGCACAAAGAAGATTGACTAATCCGATGCTTGTTTACTGAATCTGCGGCTAGGGCGGGGGGGAAACCCCTCCCACCTTTGGGCGGGATTTTAGTCTGCCACTCTAAAATCTCCAATTCTACGCCCAATAATTTTATTTCTTTTTTCATTTGCACCCAACCTCCAAGGACTTTGACCTCCCTAAATCTTGGATGTAATCTTCACTTTAGTTATAAAACTCAACTTATTTTAACAAATCAAATGGCCAGATTGAAAATAAATTAAGATCAAAGTGAAAAGATCATCACAATTTCTTAAACATTTTCATGGCTCCACCAATTCAAATCACCATTTCACAAATCTCAAGATAAGGAGAAAGACAGAGAAAACTACTCAGATCTCATGGGGA